CCTGTTCCCTGCCACTTGGTGCTGGCTGTGGAGGGTCACATGGGCAAATTATAGCCTCCCAGGACAATGTGAGGGGTTGAGGGGAGGGGTCAGAAGCCTTCTTGTAGCTGCCAGGAGCTTAGAGAGGCAGGTTAGTGCCAAGCAAAACCAGGCAGCATCTGCTGCTCTTTGAGGAAACTGTGGTGGCAGGTAAGGTGGGGCCTGTTCCCTGCCACTTGGTGCTGGCTGTGGAGGGTCACATGGGCAAATTATAGCCTCCCAGGACAATGTGAGGGGTTGAGGGGAGGGGTCAGAAGCCTTCTTGTAGCTGCCAGGAGCTTAGAGAGGCAGGTTAGTGCCAAGCAAAACCAGGCAGCATCTGCTGCTCTTTGAGGAAACTGTGGTGGCAGGTAAGGTGGGGGAGATGTAGAGAGATCTGGCCAAATTTGGTGGGGGGGGGGGCTAAGCAGGTAATCTTACCTACCTTCCTCCCAGGGGTAGACTCCCTATTTCCCCACCGCACCCCACCATCATCCCCTGAGCTCTGTCCCCTTTTCCAGAAGGGGTTGTAGCGACCCTCACCTTGCAGTCCCCATTGGGTGAAGGAGATGTCTCTCTAGGTCCTTCATACCTCTTACCCCCACAATTGCCACCACACCCAGGTCCACCCTCTCTCATAGGATCCCCTGGGGCTGGTTCCTTTACCCACAGTTCTGGGCTGTGGGGGAACCCCTGGGTTGGCAATCTTCCTTTGAGCAGAGGAAGTAACATGTAGTCTTCCCATTCGGCAGCATCACAGGGCTAGGCTGGCATGGTCCATCCTAGAGACATGGGGGGATTAAGTCATGTCCCCACCTGGATATGGAAGAGGCTCCCCCTGCCCTGGCTCCATCCCAGGATGCCCCAGGAGGTCCCAGGGTGTCTGTGGGATGGGAATTGCTGAGCTCAGGCCTGCCCAGCCCCTTGGCACCAGAGCTGCTGTGAGTCACTGACAGGAAATGAGGACTGCTCATCACTGTGCCTTGACCCCACCCAGAGGCTGAGGCATGGGTGGGTGGGGGAATGAGGTGCAGCAGGATGGGGGGGTAAGGCAGGGACAAGTAGTGGAGGGATGGGATGAGGCTGGAGGGGGGATGGAGAGATGTGCCTGTGGGGGATGCTGGGGTGAGACAATGTGGGAGGAGGACAAGGTTTGTGGTTAGCAGGTGGAGGGTGGGGTGGCACTGGACCACAGGCTGGCTTTAATCCCCCACTCCCATAACCTTGTCTCTGTGGTAGCAAACTTGACTGGCCATGAAGAGAAAGTTGGCATGGAGAACTTTGAACTGCTCAAGGTGCTGGGGACTGGAGGTGAGTGGGATACACTGGGGGGCTGTGCCATGGGAGGGCACTAGAGGTGATCAGAGGTACTGGGGGGCTGTGCCTGCATTCCTCCTCCCAACGGCATGGCATCCTCCCCATCAATCCCCTGTCCCCCCAGCCTATAGGAGGATCCTCTGCCCCATTGAGCTTGCTGCCCCCATCTCCACTTTCCGGGGTCCCATAGTCTCCCCACTGTCCTGGGATCCTCCTGATGTCCCCCTCTGGGGCATCAGCCTACAAGAAGATCCTCTGACACTCATCTGTATCTCCCAGCCTACGGGAAAGTGTTCCTGGTGCGCAAGGTGACAGGCCACGACATGGGGAAACTGTACGCCATGAAAGTGCTGCGTAAGGCTGCCATCGTGCAAAAGGCCAAGACCACGGAGCACACACGCACGGAGCGGGCTGTGCTGGAGCATGTGCGGGCATCGCCCTTCCTAGTGACCCTGCACTATGCCTTCCAAACCGGCTCCAAGCTGCACCTTATCCTGGGTATGGGGGAACGCTGGGAGAGGGCAGGGAGGGTGGGATGCTGGGACCCAGGGGTGTGTGTGTGTGTGTGTGGCAGATTCTAGGTGGATGGGCCAGGGGCAGCATAAAGGGGGAGTTGAGAAGATGGGCACCTCAGAGAAAGGAATTGGGGATGAAATCCATGGAGGTGGGAATCTCAGAGGTTGGGGTGTGTGACAGAGGGGACCCATAGTGTGGGGGTGGAGCTGAGGAGCAGAGGGACTCCAAGGAAAGGACATAGTTATGGGACCCCAGTGCACAGAGTTAGTAACCCAATGGCAAGGGGTATGGAGCAGTGAGACCCATGGGAGCCCTAGAGGATGGAGTGTGGTAAACGCCCAGGTGCAAAGTGGACCCAAAGGAAAGGGGAAGGTGAGACTATGGGACCCAGCAGGTGGGGGGATCAGGGAGGCCCTAGGGTGGGCATTAGGTGAAGCTGGAGAATAATCGGTAGTTTTTACCACAGCTGTATTCAGTGAAAACAGAGTGGGTGAGGTTTTGATACAATGAAAAGAGAAAAACAATTATAACTCAGTTTTAACTAGACAAATACTGCTGCCATGCCTGATGGGAGTCGTAGTTCATATGCCTTGCATGCCTGTGCTTTTATGTACTTTGCACCACTGTTGGACTACATCTCCCATGGTGCAGCAGGCAGTGGGGCTACTGGCACATCCCTTAGGCTATGTCTACACTCGCGGCTTCTTGCGCGAGTAATATGCAAATGAGGCTAAGCGTGGAATATCGCCGAGCCTCATTTGCATACCTAATGAGCCACCATTTTTTTAGAAGAGGCTCTTGTGCAAGAAGGAGGGTCTACACTGCCCCTTCTTGCATAAGAAAAACCCTCTTGCGCAATGCTGTTACACCTATTACTTTTCAGGAAGAACGGCATTGCGCAAGAGGGTTTTTCTTGCTCAAGAAGGGGCAGTGTAGACGCTCCTTCTTTCACAAGAGCTTCTTCTGAAACAAATGAGGCTCGGCGATATTCCACACTTAGCCTCATTTGCATATTACTCGCAAGTGTAGACATAGCCTTAGTGTCTTCACAGTGGGACTGTGGTGCTTTGTGGGTGATGTAGTTTGCTCAGGGAGCTTAGTCTATAGAGGAGAATGGAGTGCATGTGTGAGGCAGCTGCCCTATAGTTCCCATGAGGTGTTCAAGTCAGTTGCAACAGTTGCAAGAGGAGGCAGTGGTGAATTGTGAGAGATGTGGTTCAACTTGGGAACTTTGCTTATAGAAGAGAATGAGCGTGTGAAGCACCTGCACTACATCTCTCAGGATGCACCACGGCCAGGGACTCATAGCTAGAATGGGGAGGGGGGGAGACTGGACCATGGTGCATCATGGGAGATGTATGGTATATTTGGTTTTTCAGTTAAAAAAAGCAAGTTTTCTCCAGAAACAGGCTGTTTGGGAAAATGTTTCCTTTTACCCTCCCCTCTCCTCCAATTTTTCCAGGGGAAATGCCTTGCCCTGGGGGTGGAGCACTAGGGTTGATATAGGGCATCTTGTGGGCAGGGAAAGGCCTTCCCATGCAATGGGGTGTGAGCGACTCCAAACCAAGCTGAGAGGGGCCGGAAGGGGACCAGCTGGGGGGCTGGGTGCTCACTCTCTGTCCACCTCTGCCCTCCAGACTACGTGAGTGGGGGGGAGCTCTTCACCCATCTCTACCAGCGGGATCATTTCACGGAGGATGAGGTGCGAATCTACGCAGGGGAGATCGTGCTGGCGCTGGAACATCTGCACAAGGTGGGGGGGCTGCGCCCAGTGATGGGACAGGAGGGGACCCACTTTCCAAGGGATGCCCATTTCGTGGGGATGTGAAATACCTGGAGAGTACACCCCAGATCCAGAGTCCAGACAACTGTTCTGTCATGGAAGGACTTGAGGGGCTGTGCCACAAGGACTGTGGGGGTGCTGTCTGTAGGAGTCTGTTGGGGGTCTCTCCGGGGGCTGTGTAGGAGGAATTCCTGGGGAGCTCTCAAAGGCTGTGCTGCAGGAGCCATGGGGGTGCTGTCTGTCAGGGCCCTGAGGGGCTGGCAGGCCAGGTCGAGGGGCACTGAGGGGAGCCTGGGGCATTCAGGGCTGGAAATCCCCATTTTGACCCTATGCCTGCCTGCAGCTGGGCATCATCTACCGTGATGTGAAGCTGGAGAACATCCTGCTGGACAGTGAGGGGCACGTGGTGCTCACTGACTTCGGCCTCAGCAAGGAGTTCCTCGCCGAGGAGGTCAGACACCCCTACCCAGCTCACCAGCGCCTCCCCTGGGTGCTGCCACATCCTGCCCCTGCCCACGATCCTTCTTTTGGAGATCCGCCCCTTTTGTCCTCCCTCCCCCAGGAATCTCCCTGGCCTCACTCTGTGTTCCCCCATCTTCTTGATAAAAAGGGGGGAAGAGTCTCTTTGCTTTCCAAGGGGGGGGATCTTTGCCCTGCCCCTCTAGTCACTGATGTTTAGGGGCAGAGGAGAGATGGCAGCCTCTCTTCTTTGTGGGGGCTCCATAGCTTGCATCCTGGCATGGAGCCCCCCATACTTCTCTCCCCTCCCCTCCCCTCCACAGAAAGATCGCACCTTCTCCTTCTGTGGCACCATCGAGTACATGGCCCCTGAGATCATCCGCAGCAAGTCAGGGCATGGCAAGGTGAGGGGGGCAAGGCAGGAGTAAGGGCATAATGAATGGGAGGCTGTGGTGGGGGAGGAGGGGTAAGGTGTGAGAGTCAGGAAGGCCATAGGGGACACAGCAATGGGGCCATGAGAAGTGGGAAGGCCTGGCTAGATGAGGGGAGTGAGTGGGGAGCTGGGGAAAGGCAAGGCTGAGGGGGCAAAGTGTAGTCAGAGGGGGTGGCAAAGAGAGTAGTGAGGGAGTGGGGAGTTAAGTGAGCAGGGGGTAACTGGGCATGGCAGGCAAATGGGGGGCTGGCTAGCGGGTGGGTGTCTCAGACTGTTACCCCTCACCCCAGCAGCAGTGTGAGGAGGGTTGGGGAGCTGTCTGCTGGGGGGAGGGCATCGTTCCAGGTTCACTGACCCCTTTCCTGCAGTGCAAGGTGGGGTTGGTCTGGGGGGGTTCTAGGCTCATCACCCCACACCCCTTCCCCCACAGTCAGTGGATTGGTGGAGCCTGGGGATTCTGATTTTTGAGCTGCTGACGGGGGCCTCGCCCTTCACACTGGAGGGGGAGAAGAATACGCAGGCTGAGGTGTCCAGGTGAGGGGGCTGCTGGATGAGGGAGGTA